AAGCAGCCACAAAGGCTGGAGCTGAGCCCGTCTGAGGCCAGGAGCCTCCTCTGGGGTCTCCCACGTGGGTGCAGGGTCCCAAAGACCCGAGCTGTCCTCGACTGCTTTCCCAGGCCACAGGCAGGGAGCTGGACAGGAAGTAGAGCTGCTGGGATTAGAACCAGTGCCCATATGGGATCCCAGTGTGTGCAAGGCGAGGACCTTAACCACTGCACCAGCATGCCCAGCCCATAAATATATTTTTTAAATAAAAATAATCTTTAACCCCTATAAAGAGGAATCACTCTGCTGAACTGCACAGTAGACGTTTTTATAATGCTTCCCAGTTGTCAGTTACTAATAGCAGGTTTACATGTACATGGAGTGATAGATGTGGCAATTAGCCTGACTTCGCAACTCCAGAATATACACACTCAGTAAAATGGCAGAAATTTCCTATAAACACATCAAGTTTCTCAGTTGAAAATAAAATTGAACCCCAGTTGCAGGAAGCTGTTTTCGTTGCCTTGCTTCTGTAAGCACCTGTAGGCTGGGACAAAAGCGACCTGTAGCTGCTCAGCGTTCTGGTCCTGATTAACACCAAATTCGTGTTAGCTCCACCGCTATCCCAGCAGAGTTGCATATGTCCTCCCCCCCTTTTCCTCCCCCTTCCTTCCTTCCTCTCTTTTACTATGTAGCGAAAACTCCAGACCAGGACAGTCCACCCTGGCCTCTGGATGGAGAGGGCAGAGCAGATTTCCTGGGGAAGGTTCAGGGGATGTACTGGAGAGGGAGCAGCTGTGGGCATGTTTGATAGGGTAAGAATAATTTCTAGAGTCTTCCTTGGAGCCGGCCACTGCATTTGCAGGTAGGCACGAGAGCTGACATGTGGATTAGGCGGGGAGGGAGGGGGAGACCAGAAGGCATGTCTGGGTCAGGCCAGAGGCTGTGCTAAATAACGTTACCTACTGCTCACTGGTGCTTGCAAAAGCTGGGGCTGGGGAGGCCTGCCTTGCTGGTCTAGGCTGGGGTACCACCAGCCTGAGTGCTGGAATAGAGTGTGGGCCACTTCAGGCTGGACCTCAGTGTGCACCAGAACAAGAGAACTTGATCTGGGGTCAGATTCTGTAGGGGACTTGTGAACTCGCCTTTGTGGGACTGCATCGTCCACTGGTTTAGAGAGCTGGGAGTGGGGACAGGCCGAGCCAGGCTGGATCACAGAACTCACATGAAAGAACCCATCTAACACTCATGGGAGTCGGGCTGTGGGCAGGCCAGCTGGGTCAGGCTGCAGCATCTGCCAAATGCAGAGGTTAGACCTGCCAGACTGGGCTGTAGCACCCATCAGCACACGAGATCCTGGGCTGGGGTGAGCCCACTAGGGGGCAGCAGCGGCTGGTGGTGAGCTACTGGTGAACGTGTGAACTGGAACTGGAGGCAAACCAGGTTGGGCTGGGCAGCAGCACCCACTGGCCTGCCTGTGAGCTGGGTTAAGGGGAGAGCCAGCTGTGCTAATCAGCCATATCCGCTAGTGCATGCATGAGCCAGAGTAAGTGCAGGCTGGTTGGATGAGGCTCCCAAGGCCATCCTCTATTGCTTTCCCAGGATATAAACAGGGAGCTTCAACCAGCAGGTGGAGCAGCTGGAACACAAACCAGGATCCATAAGGAATGCTGGTATTTATAGTGTAAACATTTAGACACTGGGCCATCATGCTGGGCCTCCATCCTGTTTGCTTTATTTATTATCAGCTATAATGAAGAAAACACCCCCTGGAAAAGCGTATCTTGTCTGGCTGTGCCTCTTCTTGGTGGTCTTGAGCAACAGCTTCCTCCACAGACAGTCTACCTGCCGTTTGCGTAGCTCCAACTCTGCAGAATTTCCTTCACCACATCCACCTCCTGCCAAAAAGGAGGCTAGTGCAGCCACCGAGCTGCCTGTTATCAGACCAGCTGGGTGGGATTAGGAGGTTATGGTAACTTTCTCTGATCTCTGACATCCTGCACCCCACGAGTCCCCAGATGGGGAGGTCAGGACCCTCCCTGCCGAGGGCCCTCTGTGCATCCCCTTCTTTTGGAGGAACTGAAACTTTTTGTCCTGGTGTGTACTGAGCAGTCTGCTTGACACCGGAGTGGCTGTGTCACATGTCCGTGCGTCGGAAAGGACCACAGGTCTCTGCAGCTGTTTTCTAGCAGTTTGCCAGTCCCTGCGCCCGGACTCAGTTGACGACTTTGCTTTTCCCCTGTTCCACTGGCTGTCCAAGCTCTCCTTCCTGCCTTCTACCACCTTTGGATGGAAGGGTTTTTAATTCTGGCTGTTGTTTTATGGATTTATTTTTGGTTTTCCGTGAAATATAGACATCAGTTGTAGAAGGTGGAGAATCCCAGCTGCTCCTGACTGCGGCCTTTGTAGCCATCACTGCCTGATTCTTGTAACTCAAGTTAAGTTTTGGTCTTACTGTAGCTTCACAACAATAAGGAAACAAGTAAATGAATAAACAAGTCTCCTTAGCTTCACCATGATAGATAGATAGATAGATAGATAGATAGATAGATAGATAGATAGATAGATAGATACCTGAAGAGATGTGACAGGAGGAAAGACCTTACAGTCAAATTTGTTGTTTTAAGGAGTGGTTTTACTTCTTCCCCTTAAAAGGAGCCTCTGCATCTCCCACACAGGTGCAGGCTCCCAAGGCTTTGGGCCGTCCTCGACTGCTTGCCCAGGCCACAGGCAGGGAGCTGGATGAAAAGCAGGGCTTCTGCGATTAGAACCAGCACCTGTATGGGTTGCCAGTGCATGCAAGGCAAGGATTTTAGCTGCTAGGCTACCAGTCCAGGCCCCTAGGTTTCCTTTTCTATCATTTTATACTATAAAGTGAACAAGTTTCACAAGTCTGTAGAAAGGTATGTGTTACCTTGCAACCATTTTCCATAACAGAAAAATTTACAGCCTGTTTTGTTTTCCTGGAAATAGTCTCCTGTAGACAGTGAGCCTGTGACTTTCCATAGCTAGCTCCCTACTATCACTGTGGTACTTAAAGCAACACACTGAGACACTGAGGCTTCCTTAAAGAATGATGGAATTGAAGCTGGGCTCTCTGGCAAATTCCACCCACCAGAAGATGGCCTCCCATGTCTGTTCCCTTTAATCTGATGCCAATGTGGTGTATCTATACCAACGATCATCTAAAGCTCCTCAACTAGGGAGATGCAGGATGGCTAGATGGGATGTAGCCACACCAACTTCCGCTTCTCTCAGATAAAAAAAGGAGCAGCATGTTCCTAAGGACCTGACTGACGGGCCAGGGCCAAGAAATGCAAACACCGTAAGGACACTGGGATAGCAGGAGGAAGGACGGGGACACTGAGCCAGTCCCGTGGCACAAGCTGCTGGCTGCCCACAGGTAGGAAGAAATCTCTGACCCAACACTCGATCCAGTTCGAAGGGAAATGCAGTTACTAACACATTTCAGCCTGGGCAGCTGCAGCTGACTGGGGTCTGAGGTGTCTCCAGGCTTGGAGCACAGACCCCAGCCTGCTTCTCCCTCCCTGCTGTGGCACAACTCAGGAGTGAAGCCAGGCAGTGTCCTCCACTCATGCCAGGTGCCGAACTAACACCACTGCACACCATCTTCAAGAGAGTGATGTAGCCAGTGTTACCAGTGTTACTGCCCGAGAAGAACTTGCATCCTGCATAAGAATTGGAGTGTGGCTGGCATGCCAGGGAGACAGGGTTCCCACAGAAACTGAAGAGCGCAGTGCCTTACTTGTCACTCCACCCGCAACAAGCGGCCATAGCAAATAGGGCACACGCTACACAGCAAATCGTACACGCCAGACAGAAGTAAGTACAAGCTGACATGGCTCAGATGAGCCTGACTAGGGGATTTTACCTGAGGGGTAACTCCACATTCCCCCTGTCAAAATGCCTGAGAAGGAATTCCAAAGAATGACACAGGAATACTAAAAGGGGGGAAAATCCACTGGTCAAAGTCATATATGACATGGATGAAAAATGTTCCATGATACATTTAACACATGTCAAAGTAAAATACTACAAATGAATTTAATACCAAATGAAAGACACTGAAAGTCAATTCAACAGACTTGGTGAAGCAGAGGGAAAAAATATCCAAGTTACAAAGCAAATCTTTGGGGGAAAAAACCCACAAAACTAAAAATGTTCTTTTAAAAGATTTTATTTTTATTGGAAGTCAGATTTACAGAGAGAAGGAGAGACAGAAAGATCTTCCACTTGCTGGTTCCCACCCCCACCCCAGGATATAGAGTCAATTTGAAGCCAAGAGCTTCTTCCAGGTCTCCCATGCTGGTGCAGGGTCTCATGGCCTTGAACCATCCCCTACTGCTCTCCAAGCCACAAGTAAGGAGCTGGGAGGCAGTGGAGCAGCTGGGACATGAACCAGCACCCACATACGATCCCAGTGCATGCAATATGACCCATGCATGCCAGGCCCTAGTGTTTAAGATTTATGAGATATTCTCAAATAACCCAACATAGTTTCTGACAGTGTGGAAAAATGGATTACAAGACCTATCCAGTTAAATAATAACAGGACATTTCCTAATTTAGGGAGATATTCAAGTACGGAAAGCAGGTAGTAGTCCTAGTAGACATGAGGAAAGATTTTGATACATTGTAGTCAAATCTGTAACAGCAAATCAAAGGTTCTATTATCTGTAAGAAATGCCAGATTCCCTTCAGAAACCTCCCATAATATATCTGATTTCCCAATAAGCAACTCTAACAGGCTAGAGCAGAATGGAGGGGCATGGTTCAAATTTCTGAAGAGAAAACTATTCACAGATTAAGCCACACCTTGTCTGGCTTTAGTGACTCACATTTGACTTTCTCCAGAATCAATCTTATGTCTTTTTCGTATGTGATTTAGACAGTATAAGATGCTCAGGTTTATAGACTTTTACAAAGGAATAAAAGTAGTTTTCAAGAAAGAATTCACAGGAGAACAGGCAATCAAACTGAATAATTTCTCAAAGACATTTTATTTGAATGTAAGAGTTACAAGGGTGATAGAGATCTTCCATTCCCTGGCTTACCCCCTGCATGGCCACGATGGCCAAGGTGGGGCAGACCTAAGACAAGAAAAAGGATTTTCTTCCAGTTCTTCAATGTGTGAAAAAGCAGGGGTCCAAGCACTTGAGCCATGTTCTGCTGCTTTTCTCAGCCAATAGCAGTGGCGAAATGGATTGAAGCAGAGTGGTCATGAACGAGTGCCAACATGAGATACTGGCATTGCAGCTACAACTTATTCCAATAAGCCACAATTCTAGTCCCAGACTGAACTAACTGTATCTTCCTGAAAATCAAACAGTTTCATCAAACCAACGAAAACCAAAGTTTCATGCGCGACACTGGCATGACAGCACATCAGGCTAATCCTTCACCCTGTGACTCCAGCAACACATGTATGCTGTTTCAGGTCCTGGCAGTTTCCCTTCTGACCCCTCTGTGGCTTGAGAAGGCAGTGGAGAATGGCTCAAGTCCTTGGGACTCTATACCCACGCGGTGCACCCTGGCTTCAGCTCAGGCTGTAGTGGCCATTTGAGGAGTGAAGCAGCAGATAGAACACCTGAGTCTCTCCCCTTCTCTCTCTGTAAAGTCTACTTTTCCAATAAAATAAGTAACAACAACAAAATGTCTGTTGGCACAGGTATCCAGAAAGAGACAGCAACATTAGTCATAAACTAATCAGTGCCTTATCCAGGACACATAACCCACTCAGGAACTGAACACCAAAACAAAAACAAAATCTGATAAATTAGAGGATTACTGAAAATAACTTTCCCTGTGTCACTCTGCATTGCTTGTAAATGAAATACATGCCAATAAGCCTTAAGAAAGGAATTTACTGAGGCGTTAGTTATCAGAACCACTGGAAAAACAAAAATAAAGCAAACATTACCTTTCAGCAAACCATCCAAATTCACTGCAACTGCCTACATCTAAATTTCTATGTCATTCTAATATTTGAGGTTTGCACCCTATGATTAACACAATAAAGATGCCCTAGGAAACTGACAAGGGTCAGTAAGCAGTTCCAATGATGTTTGTGGGATGACTTGTAGAACCATCATCGTTATGGAAATGTGCTAACTGCATCATCTCTCAATCTCTTCATGTGAGTTGAAAACTGACTTATTGTCAATTATTTCACGCTGATCATATTTATATGGTTTCTTTCATTTGTGAATTCTCTGATGTCTTGAGTTCTAGCTTCTGACTAACATTTTTCTCATACTTACTGCATCAAAGGCTATCATTTGTAAATTCTGTCTATGGAGGCTTGAATTCCAGGAAAATCCTTTTCCATATTCATTACACTCCATAAAATTGTCACTTGAATTTCTGATATTTAATGAAGAATGAAATCTGTCAAAAAGGCTTTTCCATGCTACTTACATTTGTAAGCTTTTTCCCTTGCGAGATTTCCATGCCTCCGATGGATTTCCAGCAAAAGGCTTTGTTAAGCTGATTCTGGGAAGGAAAAAAATTCCACTCAGAATATTCTTACATTTTATCCTCTCTTTGAATTCCCTGATGTGCTGAGAAACTAGTTGTTGGGGAAAAAAAATTAATCCACATGCGTTACAATCATTTCTTCCTCTGTTATTCTCTGATGTGTTCTGAAGTGTGACTTTTGGCAAAGGGCTTCGCCACTGTCAATGTTCATAAGGCTTTCTTACAAGTTTTCTTTTTCATGAGGCTAGATTTGTGCAGAAAGTCTTTTCCTCGGTCAGTAAACTCCTATTGCTTGCCTCTTATCCAACTTCATCAATGTCCATTAAGATGTGATATTTGCCAAAAATCTGTTCCAGAGCCACACATTCGTAAGGTGATTACTTCGACTTCTGGATAAAGGCTTCTCCATAGTCATTGCATTCGTAAGGTTTCTCCCCCGTGTGAGTTCTCTGATGTCTGATGAGGGATGACATATGGCAAAAATCTTTTCCGCAGTCATTGCATTCATAGGGTTTCTCCCCCGTGTGAGCTCTCTGATGTCTGATGAGGGATGACGTATGACAGAAAGCTTTCCCGCAGTCATTACATTCATAAGGTTTCTCCCCTGTGTGTGTTCTTCGATGTAGTGTTAGTTTTGACTTCTGGATAAAGGCTTTCCCGCAGTCATTACATTCATAAGGTTTCTCTCCTGTGTGAGTTCTATGATGCAAGGTGAGCTGTGACTTCTGGATAAAGGTTTTCCCACAGTCATTACATTCATAAGGTTTCTCCCCTGTGTGAATTCTCTGATGTCTTATGAGGCACGACGTGTGGCCAAAGGCTTTCCCACAGTCATTACATTCATAAGGTTTCTCCCCTGTGTGTATTTTCTGATGTTTTACAAGATGTGACGTGCTTCGGAAGGCTTTTCCGCAGTCACTACATTCAAAAGGTCTCTCCCCTGTGTGTGTTCTCTGATGTATTGTGAGTTGTGACTTCTGTATAAACGCTTTTCCACAATCTTTACATTCATAGGGTTTCTCCCCTGTGTGAATTCTCCGGTGTTTTGTGAGTTGGGACATCTCGACAAAGTCTTTCCCACAGTCTTTACATCGATAAGGTTTCTCCCCTGTGTGAGTTCTCTGATGCTTTATGACTTGGGATGTACAACTGAAGGCTTTTCCGCAGTCACTACATTCATACGGCTTTTCCCCCGTGTGAATTCTCTGATGCACTCTCAAGTAGGACTTATGACCAAAGGCTTTCCCACAATCAGTACATTCATAAGGTCTCTCCCCTGTGTGGATTCTATGATGTATGATGAGGGATGACATACGACCAAAAGCTTTCCCACAGTCATCACATTCGTAAGGTTTCTCCCCTGTGTGTATTCTTTGATGCAGCATGAGGGATGCCATACGGCCAAAAGATCTCTCACAGCCGTCACATTCGTAAGGTTTCTCCCCGGTGTGAGTTCTCTGATGCACTGTTAGATGTGACTTATGACCGAAGGCTTTTCCACAGTCGACACATTCATAGGGTTTCTCCCCAGTGTGTATTCTTTGATGCATTATGAGGTGTGACATTCGGCCAAAGGCTTTACCACAGTCATTACACTCGTAAGGCTTCTCCCCTGTGTGAATCCTCTGATTTCTAATAAGGCCTGTCTTCTGATACAGGGTCTCTCCACATTCACTAAATACATGAGGATTTTCCCCTATGAGATTACTGTGATAAATGGTATGGCAAGACTGACTGCTACCTGGTATTCCACAGGGTTCACATGCATAGTTTTTCCCTGTAGGATGCCTCTGATTTATTGCAAGATCTGATTTGTAAATGAGAGGTTTTCCATATCCAAAATATTCATAAAATTTGTCTCTTGTGTGGGTTTGTTGATGATTACTGAGGTTAGAACATAAATGGAATTTTTTCTCCTCTATCTGAGTTGCTTCCTTATTACAGTTGTCTTCCATATGGGTCCTCCCAAATGTAAAGAATATTTTCTTATTTTCAAAGGCTTTCCATTGTGCAGTATGTTCAAACGGCTGCTGCACAGTCTGAACCTTGTGATGCTCGCTGAGCGGCTCATAACATTGGAGAGAGTTCTCAGGCACATCGGTGACAGCAGATTTCTCTCCAACTTCCATCTCGGGAAGCCCACTGGGGTGATATACAATGTGACATACATTGAATTCCTCAGCTTTTATTCCTGAATAATTTCCATCTTTGGAAATCAGTTTTGGAATATGGCTTGAACTCAAATTAATTTTTTTGAATTCCACTCCCTCGGGAGTTGATGTTTTGCTGCTTGACATAGCATCCTGATCCAAATCGTACTGACTTTCCTGCTTGATCATAATCAGGTCATCCCTTTTCATGGCAGCTGAAATGAGAAAGACAATCATGTCACTGAACGACATATCAGTGCTTCTCTATTGGAATATTCATGTAAAGGAAATGAAGTTACTTGTGTAAACTCCAGGAAAATTACCAAAACAAAAACCTAAGAAACATTTATGCTTGACGTTTTAGTACAGGAGACAAAATGGTATCCTATCGAATTCTCCATTAAATAAGAATACTGTGAGCATTAGGAATAATAGCAGGCTGCTTGGAATGTTCTCATCCTATATTGGAGTGCTTGGGAGTCTGAACTAGGAATAATAGAAGTGGAACTAGGAATAAAAACGAGAGAGAATTCCAAGAAGAATCCTCTTTCTCAGAGTGCCAAGGCCAATGAGCAACAGGGATCAAAGATCTTCAGCCACTACCCAGGAATTAAAACTAAGGTGCCTCCCTCTAGTGAGGATACGAATTCATTCAAAGGGGCTATTTATCATCATTATTATTATTTTGATGATCTTTTATATAGTTGATAGAGTAAGACCCTTGTTTCCACATTCTCTTTTTTTCCTTCCTGTATCTGAGAGAAGAGAGAAGACAAAGGGAGAAAGCTACACCCATTCTCCCAACCATCCCAGGGTCTCCAATGTGGGGCAGGCTCTGAGGATGCTGTTCAAGTGGTTTCAACAGTTCAACTGTTCTGAATTGCTGCCAATACCAAGATTCCAAGCACATAATCTACCATAGTGTCTCTGCATTGTTACATTTGGTCTTAACGACGTTATCAATGTCAGAGACAGGAAGAGATATAACACTTATAATACTGAGTCAACGGCAAGTCTGTTCTTCAGCCTTAACCCTTCACAGAATTCAGTCTGTGGTTACACTCAGCCCTAACATTGCGTAAGTAAAGAAATCCAATTTGGAAGATGGTTAGGACTGGACAGTCTCCTGGACTAGCTCCTATCTCACAGAAATGACCACTCGCAGGCATAGCTGAATAGAATTACACTAACTACTCACATCCACATTTTGTCTACTCCATCTTGCTCACTTTAAGAGAACAGATAATCCATCTGCTGCTCGTTCACTCCCCAGGTGGCTGCAGTAATGAGTGCTGGGCCATGCTGAAGCTAGGGACTTGGCTGCATTTTGTTTTCGCATTTGGGGTGCAGGAGTCCAAACACTTGAGCTATCAGATGTTTTTCCCATATCATTAACAGGGAGCTAAATTTAAAATGGAGCAGCTAAGGGCATGAACCAGTCTCCACATGGGATGTAGACTCACAGTACAGCTCTTGACACAGCTTCACCGCTGTGCCACAATGCCAGCACCTAAGCTTTTCATTTTTATATCCCCTTCACAATGCAGCCTGCAAAGCAGCCTGTTATTTGTGGAAGGTGAAACTGAAATAACCATCGCTTTAAAAACTTATTCAGAAATTTGTTAATAAACTAAATGTGTTTATAATAACTCTCATCCATTTTGCCATTCAGAAGATCCGTATCCAATAAGTAACTCATTCTACATCAAGAGAAATCACTTCTCTGTTATCTTTCGACTTTTCCATTTTTAAATGCTAGGCTGTGGTCATCCTCATACTACAGACTTCCAAACTATGTTTTCATTTAAGAATATTTTTGAGCCTAGTGGCTGTATCTTCACTTTGTATGCACCAGGAGCCCATTCAGTTTGTATCCCAGCTGCTCCACCCTCGCAGAGCAGCAGAGCATGGCCCAAGCCTTGGGATTCTGCACCCAGATAAGAGACCCAGAAGAAGCTCCTAACACCTAGCTTCATATCAGACCGGCTCCTGCTGTCGTGGCCACTTGGAGAATTAACCAGCAAACAAAAGATCTTCCTCTCCTTCTCTCTGTCAATGTGCCTCTCCAATAAAAATAAGTAAATTTCTTAAAAATCACATTTTAAAAGGTTTTTTTTGAAATATGTTTTGGATTTACAAAAAAAATTACACAGTCCACAAATAACCTATACCCAGTATCCACTATTACTAACATCTCATATTAAACATGGTACACAAACCACAACTGAGACTGAAGTAATACATCCTCTTTTATAAAGATTTATCTAATTTGAAAGACAGAGAGAATGGGAGAAATAGGCCTTTCATCATATGGAATTGCTAGCAGTGAAAGCAACAGCTGAACACACTGTGCTGCCAACACTGGCCCAAATATTAAAGTCTACAATTTATTTGCATTTTATTTGTAGACAGACCTGAGTAACCTCCAAGAACAACTTTGGAATTACATTCCTACTATGTGAGCACATCAGCCGGTTTTGTCACCTCTAGACCAAAAAGTCGGAATTATTGTACATATTGAGGATTCCTTAGGACACTTAAAATTTCCCATCATCTGACCTTTATCTTCACACTTGGCTTTCTTAGCACATTTCTCGTGAAGACCATCCTGTGTTTGCCCGCTCTGCACTCCCTTCCTCATGCTTCCCCCATCCCCTTGTTCCTTGCACAGACTCTCCCTCACAAAGCTGCCAGCTTCCTGAAGCAACAGATAATGTTGGTCAGAAAACCTGGAAGCCAGAATCTTAGTCACATTATGAGAATGAATAAATATCTATTGGTGCAGCCATGAGGAAAGGGCATCTAGAAGAATTCTGCCTTGTCCTTTGTTAAAGTGGAGGGTTTTTTTTTCTTTGTTTATGCTTAATTCAATATTTGACAGAATTCTCTTTGAATTAATAGGTCAGGAGTTAATTCACTGTTCCTTTTTAGGGGGAATAGGGCAGAAGCAGAACTGGGAAAAAGAAGTACCAGTTTAGTTTCAGATTCACAGTGGGAACAAGTGAGCAGACTGTGGGAGGGGAGGGGGCAGTGAGGGTTACGGGGTAGGGCACAGTAGAGGGCGAGGTGCTAACAATTTCTCTTATTTCTCTTAACAGCAACCTCTACGTCCAGACTTCTGATCTAGCAAAGCTCTACCCACTGTCAAGAAGCAGCTTCAAGTAGTGATTAAGCCGAGAGGCAGGCTGGGAACGTGTGAGCACTCACCGACAGTGACAAAGGGACGGCTCCCAGAACGGGAGCACGGACAGACACCCAGGACAGCAATGCTCAGTGAGACTCGTGCTCAGATCTAGAACGTTTGCAAAATGTACAAATGAGTCTTACATTGCAACAGCAATTTTTCTCTTAGGATACAAAGGAAACATTTTGGATGGTTTTTTCGGGGGGGGGTGTCTTTTAACAGTTATTAGTTTTTCAGGATCTGACACAGAGGGAAATAGGGGTGAGGAAAGGGGGAGAGATTTCTCCAACTTACTGGCACACCCTCAATGGCCCCCACTATCCTGAAATTCCACCTAGTTCTCCCAAATGGATGAAAGGAAATCAACATATTTAGGTCATTGCCTGCTGCCACCCCAAGTGCACATTATCAGGAAGCTGGACTCAGCACTCCAGTACAGAAGACAGGTATCCCTAGTGACCTCTTAGCCACTGCAGCAGACACTACCACGGAGAAAAACTAAGTAGTCTTGAGCCTTGGGATGCCCAAGTGTCTGTGCAGACTCAGCCCATAAACCTCTGTACCACTCTTTCCCAGTTAGGAGGGAAGCTGTCACGGTCTAGCCACTTGCACTCTGCCTTTCAGAGCAGTTCCTGTGGGAGGCCGGGTGAACGCTGAGGAGTCACTCCTGCTCCAGCCACCATAAAGCAAGTCACAAAGAGAAGATATTTCGGGCGACAATGTCTTACCATCAAAAAGAAGCTCTGACTACAGAAAAGCCCATCACAGTGTATATAATCCTGAGGACAGGGCATGGCACTCTGTAACGTAATCAAAATTCAGTTCCAGAGACATCAACCTGGGCAATATCAGATACTGCTTACAAATGTAAACAGGTTACTTGGTGCCAGGTGCTACTTCTAGTAGTGAGTATTAGTGTTTGTTCCCTTCCATAATGAAGAAGTAGAGTCACAAAATGAGCACATCTCTGCTACCTCACAAAGTTAGCCACTTATTTTTAAAGACATAATTTTGTGTAAAGATTTATTTAATTTTTATTACAAACTCAGATATACAGAGAGGAGAAGAGAGAGAGGAAGATCTTCCGTCCAATGATTCACTCCCCAAGTGATCACAACAGCCGGTGCTGCGCCAAAGCCAGGAGCCAGGAACCTCCCCCAGCTCTGCCACACGGGTGCAGGATCCCAAAGCACTGGGCCGTCCTCGACTGCTTTCCCAGGTCACTTCTTTTTAAAACTTTGTTTATTTGAAAGGCAGGGAGAGAAAGACAAATAGATTGCCCATCTGTTGTTTGACTTCCCTACAATAGGCCACAAATGCCAAGTATGTGCCAGGCCAGAGCTAAGGGTTAAATATTTCATCTTAATCTCCAGTGTGGTTGTCAGCAGTCCATGAACTTCAGCCACGAGGCCACTGCGCCAGGACGAGCTCAAGTCCTCACCTTGCACATACTGGGATCCCATATGGCCGCCAGGATTTAACTGGGATTAGACCTGCTGAACCGGAGGTCCCGCTTCCCATCCCATTCCTGTTGTGGCATGAAAAAGCAGTTGATGATGGCCCAAAGCCTTGGCACCCTGCACCCATGTGGGAGACCCAGAAGCTCCTGGCTCCTGGCTTTGGATCGGTGCAGCTCCAGCCATTGTGGTCACTTGGGGAGTGAATCACTGGACATAAGATCTTCCTCTCTGTCTCTCCTCCTCTCAGGTTATCTGACTTTGCAATAAAAATAAAATAAACCTTAGAAAAAAAGCACTTGAGCCAACTTTTGCTGTCTTTCCAGGCACACCTGTAGGAAGCTGGACTGGTAGTGGAGCAGCCAGAATTCCAGCCAGCAGTCTGATAGGATGCTGACAGCGCAGACTTAACCCGCTGCACTGCAGTGCTGGGCCCACGTCAACAATTTGTTAACACAAGTGTCCCGAAGGCAGGTGTTGGAGCATAAAGAGCACTGGGAGTTGGCAAGTCCTAATTGTGCTTCTTCCCACCATGGAGGACATCTGACAAACTTGTAGCATGCCACAAGCAATG